ATATACACACACACAAAAAAAAAAGAAGCTGCCTGTCATATGAATGGTTTTTGAGAAACCATTGATGTGATTCACCTACCTCCAATAACTCTTTCAATTGCTTGCTCAAAATGCTTTTGGTTTATAGCATCTGAGAGATGCCTTGCAGCAATTAAAGCAGCTTCATTACAAACATTAGCAATATCAGCACCTAAAAGCAGAGAAGGCATGAATTACTTATCATTTTCAACAATTCTCTCTCAGTCTAGCACAAAGATAACCTTACTCAGAATTAGTTTTCTACAGGTTCTCAGAGAGCAATGCTCTGTGAAATAATTAATTACACACAGCATAATTCTTCAAGAGATATTTAAATACATGTACTATGGTTATAGGCTTTAGAATTTTCTCTTGGGTAGACAGCTACCAAATAGAGCTTATTACCAGTGAAGTACTTGTTTGATATATCCTACCTTCCGTAAGCTTTCTGTCTGCAACAGACTATACTTAAACTAGTATATATTTAGCAGAATAAATTTCCTACATATGGATCCCACATAGCTCGGACCTTGATGTATCTCTAGAGGATATCCCTTCACACTACTGGTTTCAAGCCATCTCCTTGTTAACATTATTTGCAGTAATGCTATTGCGAGAACTTCGTTTAAACGCCATCACTGCAGCTGCCAGAAACATTGACACTCAGACCTCAGAAAAACAGTTTTACATGGACCATGAAAACAGTGAAGAATTCTACTACCGGTCAACACAGATTTTAAACGGATTAAATTACAAGCCAGTAATGAAAGTTCTCACATCAATTCCTAATTCAACATAAGGTTACAGTACAATTTTCAGGGAGAAGTTCTGACATCCAGGAACAGAAATCCGCCTACAGAATATGCACACAAGCTCCACAAAACCCAGGTCTTCTCCAGTAGCGTTCAAAGAATCCAACAAACATATTAAAAGGAAGAATACACACACGAGTGACAGCAATGAGAAATCTCTGGATTGCTTTTGCTAAAGACAGAAGAAACTGCCATTGGGTATGTCACCCTGATTGAGGCAAACAAAACTTCAAGACCCTCAGAAGTCTCCTACTTGCTCAAACAGGCAGAGAGGATTTCATGCTGTACCAGTAAATACAATTAAATAAAGTAAGACCGCCATCCAGAAGATCAGG